GTGCAGCGTCTCCTCCAAAGCGCCCAGAGGATTGCCCGTCGGCCCATCTTAAGCATGTTCCCTGTGTATTCGTCCAGGTCCTCTGCCAGGGACGCGGGCCAGGTTTCGCAGAGCAGGGCCTTCCAATCCCAGGGCCATTGTACCTTCGTCCCCAGTTGGTCCCACACCCGGTCCCACCATCTCCATAACCATAGCGCCCCGGGGCACTGGAGGAAGATGTGTTCGATTGTCTCTGGTCATTTACGGGACGGGAATGCATTCATGCACAGTTTGCACCACGGGAGAGCCCGCCCCTGCTGTTCCAGGGATGTTCTCTCAATGAGCCAATTGTTTGTCGGAAGGCAGCGGTGCTCTATCTGCCACTGGAGCGAGGCTAGTTTGGCTGGCTTTTCTTTAACTGTTTTAAACCAGCGGACCGGCCGCAACTCCCGTTTGCTGATGTTAAGGTGGTTTCTCCACCGTTCTCCCACCTGTTCCCGTAGTGCCATCTTTGGTCTAAGGAGTCTGTAAGTGGATTTAACAGTCAAGGTATGTAAGTTTTTTGTGAATTTTTTACCATTTTTGCTTGGAGTCGACCATGACCATTCCTTTGGGTCCAGAGGTAGGTGCTGTAAGGGAATGTCCGGGTGGTATGCTGTCCATTGTTCTTTTCCGTTGAGTGCCCTTATTCGGTAAACGTTGTCTGTTTGGCATGTTATGGTCTCGTCAGTGGCTGTTCTTTGGATGATGTTATCTGGCCCCAGCCGTGAGAGCCGTACTGCCACTGATCCGTCCTGAGGAGGGCGGACTATTCTTCCCACGCTTCCTTGCCGGTCAGCAACTGTAACCCAGTCCAGTTTCTGTAGGGAAGGGCCTTTACGGAGGATTCTCCACCATTGCAGCGGGATCATTTCCACCGGTTTCTCCAAGGCTGCATGTGGGCGGTGGCAGTAGCGCAGTTTTTCCCGAAGTTGGTCGGGTTCGATCCAGTCTCTCCTGTCCATGTCCCATATGTCATTTACCCTTGTTATTCCTTTTTAGATCCAACCCCGCCAGGGGGTGTCTGAGCTAAGGAGCATACGGCCTGTTGAATCCACCACCCATCTGTTTCCAAAGAGGGGCTGACGCACCACCTCCTCCCATCTGTCCGGCGCTGTTTTGTCTGGGGGTGGCAGGCTTCTCCACGTCCTACTCAAGTTAGCTTCTCGGAGTTATCACCCGGCAGATCGGTGAGGAATGCTTCAGCAGGCCTCAGCCGCCAGCTGTTTTCGTAGATTTTCCAGTTTTCCCAACACAATTGGCCCTCCTTGTTTACTTCACACATCTTGTCTTCCTGGTCTATACACCTCTCTCAAAATTCCTGTACTTCCTGTGTTCTCCTTTCTTGTTCTCTTATTCCTGCCAGATCTTGTCTTAGCTTTCCCCTGCTTTCATCACATTCTCTATCATTGTTTCAACAGTTTCAGCTTTGGCCTGTGGCAAGGGAAAGGTTTGTTGTTTTCCTTGTGCTGCATAGCTCTTCTCCAAATCACCATGAGTATGGAAAACCGCACTCGGTGGGATGGATTGTATTGGAAGAGGAGGTTCATGGGAAATCCACTGGTTTGCCTAGAGCCTCTCCCCAGGTGTTAGTGGTGTCTGCTCCTATCAACACCACTAACACCGGTGGAGGCATTTTTTGAGAAAAAAAAGGAAAGAATGAGGCTGCCATACTGCGTCCCGCCACCTCCGGATTTGTGTGGATATCGGACATGCCAACAACTGTGTTCTAGATGCAATCCTTCTCTTGGACAAATGAACTCAGTGACTGCAGACCAGAGATACTATCTCTCTGTGTTCCAGACCGGATCTCGCCACCAGCAAGTTGGGCGTGGGTAAGCATTGGTGTAAGATTTGCCACTGGAGTGCCTGGTGAGATGTAGGCATAGTGCACTTGTATTGTGCCCATGATAAGTCCTCCAGGCCATCTTCCTTCAGTGGTGAGTCTCTGTTCCACCTGTTCACTATAAGTGGTTTTGAGGGTACTGAGTCTACTGACTTATGGCAGGCTTTGTAACCCTTCTTCACTGTGTACTGTCATGCCGGTAGTGGTTTGTCTGTGGGGGCCACCCCAATTCTTCTGGATCAAAGGGTAGCGCACAGATAGGAGTCGCTATTTCATATGCAATGGACCATCTTCTTGGTACCCACTACCCTTGTCCTGAGGACGTCGCCCCTCGGCTCCACACAGTCTTCCTGGTCCTTCCCTGTTAGCTTTGCCCACCTACTTCATGGCAGGTGGGGGCTAAATCCTTCAACTTCTGATGTCACCCCTTGCACCCTCTTCACCCTGTACACTACCATTGGGACCTGCATTAGCTTCTATCACTCGATCGTTTGTTTTGTATGGACGGACCGTTCTTTAATGCCTTCACCCAGCTCATGGGGACTGCTTTTAAATTGTTTCCAATTTTTGTCCGAGTTCTTTATCTTTTTGAGAGTTGGGTGAAGCTGTTGAATGGTTCTCCACATCACCATGATTGGGTCCAATAGATCCATCCCCATTGTGTATACCCCTCTACTGACCCACATTAGCCAATTTGAGTGTTCTTTAAGGTGAAGAGCTTGCTTGTGTCGTCTAGGATGTGGGGGTTGGTAAAAGCGTTGGTCTCCGAACTTCTTGCCACCTGGCTGGGACCTGCCATCTGTTTGGGTGAAGCCGTTGCATGGTTCTCCACATCCCCATGATTGGGTCCCATAGACCCCATTGTGTATACCCCTCTACTGACCCACGTTAGCCAGTGTGAGTGTTCTTTAAGTTGAAGGGCTTGCTTGTCTCCTCTAGGACGTGAGGGCTTCCAAAAGCGGTTGTCTCCGAACGTCTTGCCACCTGGCTGGGGCCTGCTGTTTTTTGGGGACTCGTTTTGCCTCCATAGGCCAATGATGTCTGCCCATTGGAGGTCCAGTGTTAGATCCCATATACTGCATTGGTTGTGGTCCCATCCCTTTCGGACCTCCAAGGGCCCGGAATTGTCCATTCACTAGTTGTTAGGCACGGCAAAGGATGGGCCTGGTTCTCCTGTGGGACGGCACTAGGTTGCTTATCTGTACGTAGGCCAATGGTATCTAAGGTACACCACTTGCCAGCGGCAACCTGATGTTTATTTTGAAGATTAGGGCTTTGATTGCATCTTGTGGGCTTATTGTTCCGAACCCTCCCAATTTCCTTGGTGGTGCGATCCGATCCCAGGCGATCCTTGCGGGTTGCAAACCACCAGTACGTTTCCCAGCCATTTTTCTCCGACGTGGTCGCATGTGCGCTACAAATCAGCCTACGGGAGCAAAATGGCTGGCAGCACCAGCCAAAAGAAGGCCCGCACTGCTTCGTTTTTATTTGGCGTGCAGTGCGTTTCGAGGCTCGGCTAGGGAAGGGTCAATAATGATTCGATATAGATTATGTAGTTCTGGTGGTCTAAGAGGGATCCTTCTTTTTTTTTTCCCATTTTCAATTTGCTAAGAAAGGTTCCGTTTCATTGCCGCGTAACATACGATGTGTATGGTTGACGTGGACTGAATTCCGCACCGACTCACATCCTCTTGTCCTGTGTTCTTGCATCAGCAGATGACGAGCAGAACGAGTATGAAGACGATGGGTTCCTTGTCAACGAGGATGAGGAGGCAGAGGAGGAGGAGGAGGGTTCTAAAAGGAGTGATGGTGAAGAAGAGGAGGTCCGCCGCAAGAAGAAGAAGAGAAAGAAGAGGTAGGAAGCAAACACACTGATTACATTACTGCTTGCTTTAACACTTCTTGACATCCTTGACTGGTCCTGCAGCTTTCGTGTTTTCTTCTTGCCCTGTTTTAAAGTGTGTTTGTAGTACTTTTGTACCAAAACAAGAAAAGAAATGTGACTTTTTACCGCTGGATGTCTGGATCCGGACGCGGACTGACTGGATCCGGATGTCTGGGGGCGTCCGGTCCGAAACCTCCGGACCCCCAGCCAGGGTTTTCAAAAAAGAAGCTGGGAAGCTTAGATGATGTCTTGGGTCCCACTCAACCCCCAGAAACAGTAATGTGGTTTTTGGGGCTCGGTGGGGCCTTCCGGGTTGGGCCGCATATGACTGATACAGATTGAAAAGTAATCCCTCACAGAATGGCATTTTCCAAAAAAAAAAGGTATCGCATTCCTTTATAGAAAAACTAAGTATGGAGGCTATTCTCAGACAGGGGATGTCTCTCGTAAATGGGGATGCATGAGGTGGTAGGGGATGGCTATTCACGGTTCAGGTCTTGAATCTCTCAGGATTTCATACTATACATCATACCATGATCAACTGTGTTGAAGAACTGTGCCATTGGCCTTGGGCTGTGTGCGCACTTGCTTGAGTCTATCCTGCCAGTTTTTTTTTTCTCCCCTTGATTAAGAAAATTGTTAAGGAGACTAGCCTCCAACCGGGGATGTCTCTTGTCAATCGAACTGCATGAGGTGGTAGGCGATAAAAGGTGACCTTATTTACTGTTCAGCCCTTGATTCTATGAAGGCTTCGCCGTTTGAAAAGTAAAAGTAAACCTTGTGTGATGTCGTAGACGACTTGGCAAAATGATTTTTCAACAGCAACTTGAGCAATAGTCAGCCGAATTAGGGAGGTAAGGGCCCTATAGAACTGTACTTTCAAGATATACAAGTTTTAATAAAACATTTCTGAAAGGACTTATAAACCAAACACTTACGTTGAAAAACTGCTTTTGATGTTCCTCCTGCTATGATCCTTGGTCGACCCCCAATGCAAAAACTCACAAAGAGAGAATGCCATTCTGCAACTCAAATGAAAGAGATTGGAATTTGGAAGAAAAATTAAGACAGAGAGAAAGAAGAGTGAAGAATAGAAGAAGGAGAAGAAGATAAACACAAGCTGGACCCATCGTCATCTCTCCTCATCACCTCCATCTTCATCCTGCTCAACATCTCCTTCATCATCTTGTTATCAATAATAATCAACAATAATGGATGAAAAGTGCCGGAATCAATGTCAGATTACTCCCCTTACTGCCAGCACACACAAAGAGCCCTTCGAGTAGCCATAACCCCATTCTTCTTCACTTGGTGGCATCCCTGGCTATGATGGAACATCCATGTGCTTCATGGATACTTAAAGGACAATGCAAACGCCACTAATACCCACTATGCCTCTCCCATCTCTGTCCGCCGTAGCGCCAGTCTCGGATGAAGCCCCAGCGTAGCCAGTACCCACACAGGGGCCTTCGGGAAGCAGCGCCAACCGATGAAGTGGAGATGAAGGTCCGCCATAGCCAAAGGTCAGTTTCCTTCCTGATTCCCACCTCTTTCTTCCTCCTCCTACCTCCTATTGTACCTGCATAGCCTGGCCCCAGGTCCATCACTCTCACCTCCATAGCCTAGGCCTGACTGTACCACCTCCCACTACTCCAGGGCCATAGTGGTCTTTTTTTTTTTTTTTTTTTTTTTTTTTTTTTTTTTTTTTTTTAAGCCCTGGTTGTTGTTCCAGAAAACAGCCACGGAGGCAGCTTGAGGTGCTGGTAGGCGCAGTCACTTCAACCTGGTCCGGGGGAGGCTCCATCTATTGGTGGGGAGCAGCACCTGCTGGGAAACGGGCCCAGCATCCCATCTTACAAATTTCACAGGATACACAGTAACTATCCATATAGGCCGCCTGATGCAGCCGTACATTTTCCACCGTATAGTGTGTGTGGTGTGAATGTTGGTGTGTATGTTGTGTATGTTTCAATGTATATGGTTCAGTAGTTTAGAGGTGACTGTTGTTGTATTTAGCAGCTTTTGTAATCCTGTAATAGTGTATTGAGTCCTAAGTCCTAGTATTTGAACTGCATTTCGCGGTGCCACATTTCTGTATTGAATCCGGACATTTGACTACTGCTGTATGAACTCTGTATATAGTGTGTGTGATGTGTATATTTCTAAGAAAGAAAGCGATGCAATCTACGGCTGCATTTAGCAGCATTTGGCAATGCTATTCTGAGGCCTATAACTAAGCAGCGTTTGTCAGTGCTGTATTGCATCCCAACTGCTGATGCATAACCACTTTCT